TTGAGTATCACTTAAGAAATCATTATCCTAGTACTCTCTTGAGTTACCCAGAGTTGAGGGAGAACCTTCCTCTCTACCCACCTTGTTGCCTTGCATCTCAAAGAAAATACTTAATTTGCACCCAACTGGCACCTTATCTTAACTCTGCTCAGAAGAGCTGGAGTGAGTTACCTGACTGATGCATCTTAGAAGAATATCCGCTTAGCTCAACTCCTTTCATTCCTCTTAATGTTCTACATTCCTCTTCTGAGAATAGGTTCTGCCCCTGTGTGGGAAGCCTGCCCTGGTTCCGTGCTGCCTGTGGGTACATTAGCGTGATTCTGGGTCTTTCCAGAAACCCTTGGCTCTCACCATACACTGCATCCCTAGATTAGCCTTTACAAATAGTGAATGTAAGAATGTTATGGTTGTCTGTTTGCCTTAATCATTTTTTTGCTCTTATTTTGTTCAGCTAGAGAAAGCAAGTGCTACTAATTACTGGTTACAACCCAGTTCATAGTAGCCTGATAAAATTCTTTTCTTCTCCCCCATTAAGCTCTTGTCAAGTATCTTGCATATCGTAGGTATTAAATTCATGTTTGCTAGTGTAATGATTGATCCATTAAATAAGAATAAAGGAATGAATGAATAAATATCAGACAAACTGAGAGAACTTGGCACCATAATCTCTGGCACATCGATAAATATAACTATAGACATCTCCAAAGACTCTTGATTTTAGTCAAAGAAAAAAGTTTATTTGTTCATAACTAAACTTCTTGAATGGATTCTCTGTTGGCATATGATGTATTTTCTTTGCACTGATTCTTTAATCCATTCCAACCTGGCTTCCCCACCCACCATTCCACTATAACAACTACAATAACTGATAGCTAATGTCACCAGTGACCTCCATGTTCTTAATTTAAGTAGATTTTATGCCCTCTTCTGGCTGGACTATTTAGAAGCTTTGGCCACAGGTTTCCTCCTCGTTGCCCTTTGCTTGGCTATTTTAATGGCATGAGAATCTACTGGTTTTCCTATTACTTCCCTGGCTGCTCTTTCCTGATCATTCTCTCACTGACCATTAAATGTGAGAATTCCTCAGACAGCTGCTCTAGGGATCCACATTTCTACTCACTGCACTGTCTTTTCTAGGCAATTTCATTCACTTCTCTGGCTTAAATTTTAATTGAGTCTAGCCATATACTGTTGTCTCTTGAATTGATTCTCTCCAGCCAAGAACTCTCTGACATGACATCTGCATTGTGAATCTGGCAGTGGAACTCTGTCTCAGTGTGCTCGATACTATACCCATACTCTCCCCAGCACCCTGCACCCCTGCATAGTCCTGCGCCTTCTCTCATATTTCCTATTTCGTGAATAGCTTTGCTACCCACCAGGTTTACCATGATGTCTAAATATTTTTTCAGTCCACTTTTTTTTTTCATCCCCATGCCACCATTATCTCTTATCTAGAACACACAAATAACTTCCCACCAACCTCTAAATATCTACTCTTGTCATTCTCAAACCCCAGAACAGTTAAGGGGATCTTTGTGGAGAATGAAAATCTAATTGTGTAATCTCCTTGATTAAGATACATCAATACCCTCTCACTGCTTTTAAGATACAGTCCCGAATTCTGAGCATGCCCTCTAAGGCCTTGACTAATTCAGTCCTTGCTTATTTTTCCTCCATTACCTTCCTTTGGAAAAAAGTCTCTTGACTTCTTTTTCAGGTTACAGGTTGACAGCACATTGGGAAAAAAGGGCTTTCCTTGACTTCTTATGTAAAATTAAGTGAGTGCATACACAAAATATACCAGCTTTCACTGGGAAAGCATTCATCACACTTAAGCTTGTTTAAAGACTACACATCCTGACATATTTTGAGGTCCACAAGAGCAGAGATCATGCCTCTCTTGTTCATTTTTCTGCCCTCAGTCCCTGACAACAATTGAGTGCTTAATAAATATTGATTAAATGAATATTGAATGAATGAATGAATGAATGAGTGAGTAAGTATTTCAGAACAGGGCCTTGCATTTTAACTTTTCAAATGCAACAAAACATTTGGAAATACCTGAGAACAGTGTATTTGGGCATTGATAATTCCATGTAATAATGTATAGCAATGAGAATCTAAAGGAAGCAATGGTACCTTTTTTGCTGCTTTTTTCCTACACATTTACAAAGGTCAATTCTGTGTGAGGAATCAACTGGAAGACTGTCATAAATAAGGGCCATATTCCTTTAACAAAGTGTCTTAGTAAGGGCAAAACTATGAAAGCTTGTAATGTATTTTTGTGCTTCCCAGTTCCTAAAGGTGCCTTAATATGGCCTCAGAGATTGATGCCTGTAGGGAAAACATTGAACTAAGCAATTGATTGAGACAAATTTGGCATTCTATTTTAATTACTTCATTGTAAATTACCATTATTACTTTTTAAAGTTACAAAAGTAATAGCCAATGAATGCAAAGATACATAAAGAAAACTTCTTCCACCCATCTAAATTTACTGTCCTTAAGTAATCAAAGTTGACAATCTGTTGTACATCTTCCATCCTGTTTTCATGCTCATATATTATATACAAAACTATATGCGTATATCTAAGGGAACTCAGTATTTGCTTATTTTTTTAAAAATAGGATTAACAATATATGTTCTCTGCAACTTGGATTACTCTTTGAATAGTAATGATGAGCATCTTTTCCAACTCAATAGATATACATTTAATTCATTGAGCCTTTTTTTTTTTTTAAAGATTTTATTTATTTGAGAGAGAGTGAGAGAGAGTACATAACAGGGGGAGGGTCGGAGGGAGAAGCAGATTCCCTGATGAGCAAGGAGCCCAAAGCAGGACTCAATCCCAGGACCCTGGGATCTTAACCTCAGCCAAAGGCAGACGCTTAATGACTGAGCCACCCAGGTGCCCTAATTCATTGTTTTTTGTTTTTTGTTTTTTTTAAAGATTTTATTTATTTATTTGACAGAGAGATCACAAGCAGGCAGAGAGGCAGGCAGAGAGAGAGGAGGAAGCAGGCTCCCCGAGAGAGCAGAGAGCCCGATGCGGGGCTCGATCCCAGGACTCTGAGATCATGACCTGAGCCGAAGGCAGCGGCTTAACCCACTGAGCCATCCAGGCGCCCCTAATTCATTGTTTTTAAACTATAGTTGCCCATCGTAATGGTAACCACATTCTTAGTCATATTCTCATGATATTCAAACCATTTTCAGGGCTTTCTTACTACAAATACTGCATTGCCTATTGTTATATATGTATTCTTATACCACACTGCCTTTATTTCTAGAGGATACAGTCTTAGAGTGAGATTACTGGCTCAAAGAATATGTGCACTTGTATATTTATATTTTTAATGTTAATAGCTATTCATTATGTTTCCAAGTGATTGTAGAAGTTCATATGTGTGAGTTGGCTCCCCTATCCTCACATGGACATCTATCAGTAGGACTCTCCTTCCGGTTTCTGGGTTAAGCTGTCTCTGCCACACCCTCTGTGATGGGGAAGCCATGGTGACTCATGGCACGTCTACTGGTTCTCTATTCTTAGTTACTTTCTAGGTCTCCCACTGGGGCATACTTGGACTTTTGGATGACATCCATAGTATAGGCGAGACTTGAAAGTGGTATTTGACAATTTTTTAAAAAGATTCACAGATGAAAGATCTCATGTTCTTCTGTTCTCTTTCCTTTGTAAGTAATCATATTTCTTCAGTGCAGGGACCTCTAACATTGCTTTTTAACACTGGAGTTTGAAAATTTTACATAGATGTGTTTAGGAGTCTATATGTTTCATTAATCTGGCATCAGATTCAGTGAACAATTTCAGTCTGCAAACTCAAGCATTTCTTCATCTTAGGTAAATTTTCTTCTATTTTTGTTGTTGTTGTTGAGTTATTATTTCTTTTCTCTGTGTTCCTTTCCTCATTCTGGAGCTTGTGCTATTTACATGGGACTCTTGGGTCTGACCTCCAAGATGGTTACTCTTAAGATACGTATCTTCTTTAGGTTTTAGTCTTTTGTATTAGTTTTCTATGATTTCTGTAACAAATTACCACAAATGTAATGGCTTAAACAATATAAATTTACTGTCTTACAGTTTTGTAGGTTAGAAGTCTGAAGTGGGACTGGCTGGGCTAAAATCAAAGTGTCAAGAGGACTGTGTTCCTTTCTAGAAGCTCTAGGAGAGAATCCATACCCTTGCCTTGGCAGCTTCTAGAGGCCACTCACATTTCTTGGCTTGTGGTTTGTTGGTCCCCTTCTTCTGTCTTCAGAGCCAGCAATATTGCATCTCTTTGCCCATTCTTTTTTTTTTTTTTTTTAAGATTTTATTTATTTATTTGACAGAAAGAGAGATCACAAGTAGACAGAGAGGCAGGCAGAGAGAGGGGGGAAGCAGGCTCCCTGTTGAGCAGAGAGACCGATGTGGGGCTTGATCCCAGGACCCTGAGATCATGACCTGAGCTGAAGGCAGAGGCTTTAACCCACTGAGCCACCCAGGCATCCCCTCTTTGCCCATTCTTGAGTATCACATCTCCCTCTGACCCTCCTCTTCTGTCTTCCTATTACACTTTTGAGGACCCTTGTCATTACAGTGAGCACCCCCGCTGCTCCCCAAATAACTAAAGATAACTCCCAATCTCAAGGTCTTTAATTTAATCAGATCTGGGAATTCTCTTTCACCACATAAGGTAACATTCGCATGTTCCAAGAGGTAGGACATGGACATCTTTAGGGAGTCATTATTCTGCCTGCCACACCTATGTTATGAAATGGTCCTCCAGTTCAGTAATCAGTAGTAATTAGAGGAAGGATAGACAAGAATGATGAGTGAAAGGGAACCCAGCTAGGCCTAGAGATGATTTTCAGAGCTGTTTGCAGCAATGCTTTTCCTGTTAGCTTTCACAGAGCTTATTCCCCGGTGCCCCTTGCTCCACACTCACTGACAAGTTGCCGTGGCTAGAGTGACTAACCACACACTCTCATTCTCTTGCAGAATCCAGTGAACATGAAGACAAGAGTGCAGGTGCCTCAGGGGAGACACCCTCCCAGCCTTATCCTGCACCAGTGTATAGTCAGCCCGAGGAGCTGAAGGAGCAGATGGATGACACAAAACCAACTAAACCTGAAGAGAATGAAGAGTCAGACCCATTGCCTGATAACTGGGAAATGGCCTATACAGAGAAGGGTGAAGTCTACTTCATTGAGTGAGTTTCACACATTTGTTTCCATATTGCTACAAAGACCGTAACAGTATACTAGTGATGCAGCACATAGAGATGTGGTCAAAATAAAATACTAAGTTTTATTGTTTCTGGTATGAGCTTCATTCTTTGTAAGAGAAAAATGGACAGTGCCTTGATGCAATTACATTACACTATAGATTACTGCTATAAATCAAAGAATGAATTAAACAATTACACTGTAAAGTGTGTTACAATCATGGCTGAAAAGGCAAATCTTTATGTATGTTACTATTGAGTTAGAAATAATCTACCTATCATGGGAAATGCTTACTCTACTCTTTCAAGACCTCTATATAGTCCAAATGAGATTAATGCCATCTTTTAACTAAAGTTGCTGGAAGCATCTACCATGGTGTTCAGTGATGCAGCCATTTAGAGCAAAATAGTTAAATGTCATAAAAGACAACATTTTGAGCATTTCATGCAGAGGTCAGATGTGAATAAAATTATTTAGTTTTATATCTATAACTATATATCACACTCACTTTTATTAATTTCATTCTATTTTTTGCTTACCATTTTTATGAATTCTCAAGGAAACTGAAATGCTAATCTTGAACTCCCTGGTGATACTGACTCATTCTAATCTTTTCTTGCCTTTTGGATTTTTTTTCTAAAAAAAGAATTTTATATATATTTTATTAACAATACTGTCTATCTTTCCTTTTCCTTATCTTCTAGGAGTAGAACCACTCTTAAAAAAAAAAAAAAAAAAAAAAAAAAGGTCCTAAATTGGAGATTGCAGCACAAAATTAAATTGTTGATGTAAATAAGACAATCACATTATTCACTAGGAGGAATAAAAACTAAAAATATTATAAATGAACAACACTTATTCCCTCTAACAAGACTCAAACAGAAAAATTAATAGAACTTGAAGTTTTCAGTGCTGAATGTAGATAAAAAATATGTAAACTCTGATTATTCAAGAAAAAATATTAAAACTGGATTTCCTTCTGCAACCTGGAGTGATTTGTGACTTAGATCTCCATAGGCAGAACTCAGTTGTGAAATTGAAATGTTACCACATGTCAATATTTAATTCTCATGTGAAAGTGGGAACTTTGATACATGTGGCCAAGGGAATATATAATGAGGTAATTACTTGGTGTGCTTCTTGACTCCAGCATGGGATGAGAAATGCAGTTTTTGCAGAAAATGAATCTCTACCACTTACCTTTTAACAGATCTTGTAAATTTAAAAAAATTATAAGAATCTCTTGCATTATTTTTTATTGCTATAATCAGTGACCCAAAGACATCATTTATCAACTAATTAGAAAAGAAGGAGTCATATGGAATTTTTCAAATGCTCAAAAGTATTTAAATCTAAAAACATAACTTTGTTATTGATAGGCACAGCACAGGGCCACTCAAATAAACCCTAGATGTGAGTTCACATGCTGATGTTCAGGAAAATTGATATTCAGAAGAAGGAGAATAATAATATACACATGTTTATTATATAATACAGGAAGAGTAAGGCTATGTATGTGGAAATAATAAAAGAAAAGCAGCGTGATAAGCTGATTAAAGAACAGTTTCCTTACAAGGTTTCCAATAATGCAATTATAAAAGTCTTTGTGATTACAAAATAATCTTTTCTCTTTTAAATAGTGCCAGATTTGGGGACTGTGAAGAAAAGGGACTTTGAGAGACAGAAGTTGTGCTCCTGGTATATAGTAAATGATGAGGCTCTGTCAGGACTTGGGAGAATCTACCAAAACGATTTTATTAATACTTTAGTGAGTCATCCAGTGTTAGAATTCAAAGATCCATAAAATTTTGTACCTGTTCTCAAATTTATTGTTGAGATTTATTGTGCAAATTGGAGAAGAGAGACATATAATTATGAATGATCAGTAAACAACTAAGTTCTGAGTTTTGTGATGCTATTCAGAGAAGGATATACTTAGCACGGACTTACGTAATAAAAGGAGGCATCATAGGAAGGTAAGGTCACACAGACTTGGCAATGTATAGATACAGCATTCCAAGGATAGGAACCCAGTCCCTGGGCTTACTGGGGATGTGAAAAAACCTAGTGACCCTATTAGAGAATAGGTATTTGTTGGTGAATCCTGTGAAATGATTGCTGTTTCTATTTTGCTATATCATTAGTGCTTTTGAAAGACAGGCAGAGGGTTTTTTTTTTTGTTTATCTTCAGGGAAGAATGAATGAGCAGAGGAGAAGGTATAGGTTGAGGTGGAAAATTAAGACACAAAAGAGGAGACGATACATTTTGGCCAGAAAGCTGGTGGGGATGTAGAGGGTGGGGTGGGGATTCACTCAGAAGTTAGGAAAATGAAGCCTTGAAAATGAAGTTAGGAAAATTGATGCTGAAGTGGGGGTATGACAGGAAGGAGGTTCTTATAGAAGTCAGGTGCAAATGCCCTACTTAAGGAGGTTCCTCCACAGAATGGAAGTACCCTGCACTCCTCCCTTCCTCTAGGACCAGTCCAAGCCACATCTTTCCTGTCTTGAAAAAGTCACCTTTGAATCTCAAGACTCAGTGCGATGAGTCCAAATATCAAACAAGGGAAGGATCAGTATCTTCATCATGTGGTATCTCATCTCCAACTATAACCAGGTGCACCATGGTTTCCTTTCTCTCTGCCTACATTTCTTTCCCTCTGCTTTACTTTTCCCTCCCTTTTCACTGATTGTCTCCTGACTGCCTTCACTCTTTCCTCTGGAATGCCCCTTCCTTCCCAATTACACTTGGACACAATCAGCTTCAACCCACCATCACTGACCTGTGAGTACCTTTGCTGTTGAAATAACAATGAATTCTTCTGTGAATATTAAGGGCCCTTGGAAACAGTCCGATAGAGCAGGACCTTGACAGGAGAGGGATCATGATGGGGCAGTAAGAACTTTCTTGGGGACTAAGCCATGATGCACCCAGGAATTTCTAGCCAAGAAACTTAGAAAACAAGTACTATTTATAATATAAAGGTTTGCAGCCCTGAAGCAAAGTCAAGGTAAAGAAGACGAAAAGGCAAGTAGAGAAAAGAGAAAGGGAAAACAGATGGAAGGGAAGATAGATGTGTAGGGTAAGGAGAGCTGGTGTCAGTGAGAACTTCCCTCTGGTACAAATACTGTGAGAGTCACTTAAAGTAATGGAAGTCTCCCCTGGTAGACAACACCCCTCATTACATTTCTCTGAATTCTGTCTCCTGTGAAACAAAGATTGTGATAAAACAGAAAACAAGTGAAACAAAGAAAAAGGATCCTGTAGTTTTGTGTATAAAATTTAAATATATGAATATAAATGTCTATTATTTATATTTATACATATACATTTTTGAATAGAAGAGGGGAATTCTACCTTGCTGAAATGTTAGTTCAAATACATCTTTTGTTTTTGAAAAAATATATACATACTGTGGATTTTGAATTAAGATAATAAGCAATTTCATATTTTTGTCTTCTGTCTAAAATAAATATTTTAAAATATTTATTGGTTTATTCAGTATTGCAGAATACTTTATATGTCTCAGTACTTAACAAGTTCTGCCTTTAGAAGATGAGGGGTTTTGTTTTGGTTGTTGTTTTTGGTACTGAACACAGGGGTCAACCATATTTCCCACACTTTTCAGAACTGCTTCCTTTGATGAATATGTAAAAGCAGATTCCTTTTATCATTCACAGTGATATTTAATGAGAAAAAGTGAGTATCTGAGAAAACATTTTTAAACAGTGGAATTTTAAAATGTGTGTGAATGCTCTCTTCTAAACATGCTTTAAAGCATTTATAATGTCTTCTGTTTAGTAGTTTTCATAAGACTTTGAAGTACATAATTCTGTTTAAACCCAGTCGTTTCCTTAATTCTTAACATCATACTCATTAATAATGTCTTTTAAAATACACAGCTTATTAATTGTAAATCAGATTAGTAATAATAGTTACAACATATTGAGCACCTACTTTGTTCAGACTGTGTTCAGGTTACCTGAAGGGTAGTAGCTAATATATTCAGCTTTTACATTGTGCTCACTTCCTTCTCACTTTAGAAAGCTGAGGATTGTAGAAGTAAGTAACGTCCCCATGGTCATATAACCAAGAATTCACAAAGCCAGTGTTCTTTGACTCCGTTTACTCAACACATCTGTATAGAGCACATACCATGTGCTGGGCACCATTTTAAACCCTGGGAATACAATAGTCAACAAAACTGACTAGGATTCATACTTTCATCGGATACAGCCTTTCTCCAGGGTCCTTGTTCTCCATCATTTTGCTGTGGTGCCTGCATTACACATATTATATCATAACCACCTTGTGAGCATTTGATATAACCAGTTCATAGGTGAGATTCTAAGGCACCTTGGACAAATTAACATTCTTAAGGTCTCATAGTTCCATCACCTTACAAAGCCACTGCTATTACTCCATACTACCTCTACCATATCAGCAAATATTGGCTGAAATGAAAGTAAACTTTCATATTACAAATAGTATTGGTGTTTTCTCGGCCAGAAAGTCACTATTCCATAGGCGAAATGTTCCATAAAGCAGAGCTGCCATAGGGTGAATCTGTATTGACATGCTTTGGAAATCCCACTACATCCCTTCTTTGTTTGGGAGTCAGTTTGGTTAGTGACATAAAAGACACTGCTATTGTTTTGGCAAAAAACAAAATGACAACAGGAACCTATTTGTTTACTACCATCTTTCTGAATGGCAGCGAACACCATGTCATCTTAAATAATAGATTTTTAAAAGCAGGCTTTTGAAACTGAAAATCAGGGGTGCCTGGGTGGCTCAGTGGGTTAAAGCCTTTGCCTTCGGCTCAGGTCATGATCCCAGCATCCTAGGATCGAGTCCCGAGTTGGGCTCTCTGCTCTCTGCCTACTTGTGATCTCTCTCTCTGTCAAATAAAAAAATAAAAATAAAATAAAATAAAGAAACTGAAAATCACATCTGTGAAAAATGTCGTGACTGCACATGGTTTCC